GAAAGATTTGGAGTTTCAAAAAAGCTTTGTTGTTTCGATCCTTTCTAGTTTGTTGCATCTCTACAACTACTAATTAAATCAATAAAATTACCATTATTTTCCTGGGTCTCGGCAACTATCTTTTTTATTTTATATACATCGCACTGCAAAAAATTGCTATTCCAATTATTTCACAAAAATTTTCAAATAATCTGCTATCCGAACACATCATCTTTGTTGTCCATTTTTAGAGAAATAAAATAACAATCATGCTTTGCTTGAAATCAAGATTGGGGAAATTCAAAATAAGCTAAACCCTTTTTTTTTTTTTTTTTTTTTTTTTTTTTTTTTTTTTTTTGGTCATTTTAATTTGGGAAATGAGGACTATATGCAACAATAATATTATTTCCAGCAATTCAATTACAAATGTGTTGCATAAATTGTGTGTCGGTTGATGCCAATTTGCCAAGTCATGATTCATGCTAAAAGCAACAAACAAATTCTGGCCGGAATTGGGACGAAGACAATCAACAAATCCGCAAGCAATATCAATAATGGCAATAGCAATATTATCAATATCACTATCACTTGTCTCCCTCACTTTGACTTAGTTCCGTGTTGTAATTTGCTCAAATGAACGAATGAATGGGGGAGCGGAGCGGAGCGTCGCTGCCCTCTCTCCAATTATGTCATATGCTTCTTCTATGTTTAGTTTTGCAATTTGCTGCAGATTCAACTCTCAATTATTGAATGGGGATGCAATTTGGGTATCATACATTGCAATTCGCAATTCATTGATTGCTGTCCTGCAAAGGGTTCATTTTGGACAAACAGATGGCAAATTAATACTACTATTATGTTTGATTGGTTGGTTGGGTGGCAAACTGCAATCAGAAAATAGGCTGGAAAGGAGGAATTGAGAGTTCAACTACTCGGGTTGCACTTAACTGAAGTGCATTTATGGGAGCAGTCTTATTAAATTGATTGGAATTTTTCTTAATCTTGATCCTTTCTAAGGATGGAAAAAAAAAAAGAAAACTATTATTGATTTCATTTGGATAGCATTTCTTGAAATTCTTTTTTTTTTTTAAATATTTTCTAAGTAGTAATATTTTCTTTCAATATATCATATCATAAAAAATACTGTCGCACAAACATAATTTAAAAAATTGCAATTCAACCAAAACCATGTACTAACACATGTTGTGGACTAATGGTCTCCCTCAAATTGATTGATTACCATAATGAATGCAGAAGGATCCATTCTAAGCCTTCAATTTTTTATTTTTTTGGAGAAAGACTTCAAACAAAATCTTCTTTAAATTGGTTTGTGGATTAGAAGTTAGGAATCGGCCGCACATATTAAAGTACAATTATTGAGGGTGAAAACAAGGAAACAACAGCGAAAGTGCGCATTGTTTCGTCACCATCTAAGTCAGCATGATGATTTCCAATCTTGACTTTGGAATTGGAAATGCCTTCAGGAGGGAATGAATTCGAGGAAAAGAAAGGATACGGGGGAATCCCATCAATGAATGATCAGAAAAGCAAGATAGGATTGCTTTTTATCTTTTCGCCCCTAAACTTGTACCTTATTCTCATTTCATTCCACATATATATATAGATATATATATACATCAACCCCTCATACTTGTCTCACTTGAGCTTAATTTTACAACATGTTTAACATATTATTAGTAGAATCAACAGCCATGCAAATCATTAAAAATGTCTTATTTTGTTACAGCTACGATTCTTGTCGTCTTTTTTTATCATTGTTAGCATTTTTGTCATTGATTTGTTTAGTTCTCCGATCCATTATTTACTAACGATTGGACTTAAATAGGATAAATTACGAGATAAGGAGGTAAATTATTTAAAGAGCCATCTGAATTAAAAAGGTAATAGAGACAAAACATAAAATTTTTTTTGGGAAAAGGGCAAATTTTTTTTTTTAGCTACAGTCCTATCAGATAAGGGTGATGCGTTTTAGAATTCCGTTGCAGTACATGACTTGACTGCAATGGTTAACCGGAAAAGAAGGGAATTTGATGACTGCCGACTGTGCTGCAACAACTCAATGCGCACTCCAATGAATTTCTTTCTTGTCCTTTCAAATTTAACGCTCACTGTCTAGTCATTTTTCACTTGTTTCTGAGGAACTTTAACCTACACTTTTTCACGAAAAGAGAAAGAATAAAAGGATCGCATGGTTAAATGTATCTATCACTTATCAATACCCATGCTAAGGAGTGGATTGATTACTTTGCAAGGAGTTGCTTATTTGATAATATCAATATCATAAGATTAAACGTCCAATTTTCACCATTAATCACTAAATGGTACGCAGAAAACTCCAGTGTCCCTGGAAAAATTGGCTCTAGGTAACTTGAGATCAGGGGGGGAAAAAAATGTAAAACAGTAAAAGGTTCCTCCTATTAGGAACTTAGACATGATCAACTGTACGGTTTGATTTGCATGAAGAAAAAAAATTCCAGGTAATTCAGTTGATCCCTTCGCTTTTATGGTGTTATCATTTCCCTTCGCTTTGCTTCTGTTCTTTCATTGACTTTGTCTCGCTAATTCATCTGCTAGAGCTGGTATTGGGATATGCTCAGCAGATAAAAAGGTGAAAAAGCTATTAGATGATTGAACACCGAAAGCTACCACTATGGTTGAAATACTACTTTTACCTACGCTCCAAAGTCCTTGGTAACCAGCTCCAGCCATCAATTTATTAACAGTTCAAAGATCTGTTGAGCATTTTCTGTTTAACATCAATTTCAAGCTTTCTTTTACACCCAAAAAAAAGAAAAAAAAAACTAGATGATTGAATTATGAGTCCATGATAAGTGCAGAGCAGTGCTCATTGTTCTCGGTCCATCTTAAACTGTAAAATGGTACTCATTTTACTTGTTATAATAGTACTCATCCAAATTTTTCAATAGCACGAATTCAAGAATTTCTTGAACCATATTAGGCTGTCAATGCAAGAGCTTTTAGCATTACTCCATTCAAGTAAAGGGTTTCGTACTTTCTAGTGCTCGTCTGTTCTAGAAACGAAATCTGAGGCCTTGGATTGTGTGGCCATTATCTTGGAAGCAGACGATACGGTCAAATTCAGAATCAAATGGTTGGAAAAACTAGCCATTGCCGACTGACCACTTATAGCAAGCATGCGCGCAGAGAGAGAGAGAGAGAGAGATATATATATATATATATATATATATATTCATTCAATTATAAGAGCAGAGGAAAAGGAATATTTAGGCGAACCTGTTAAGTATTCCCAAAACCACTTTTCATTCGTATTCTATTTTTTGGCTTTCAGCGCATCCTAACGCTTCAGGAACTTTAACCCGTGACCAAAGACCAATGGAAGAAAGCAACAACAAGGCATTGCTCTGCGCCACTAGAATTTAGTTGTGGTTAAGTATGTTTAAAGCAAGGTTCTGATTTTCTCTGTCTTTTACTTTGGCAGCAAAACGTGACTGGTGACACGAGTTTTGTTGGTAACTGAGGTCCTCTCGAAAAGTCGTGCAAGTCTTTAACGGCGCAAAGTTATTGCTTCAACACTTTTGCCTCCACTGCCATTCTATTGCAGTCAACTGAGCTCAGTTGGCCGCCAGCCAGCTCAGTTGAAATGTTGTATAGAAGCATCTGTAAAATGTTGTACTCAAAAAGTTTATTTGCTTCAACGCTTTCGCATTCATTAGTACTCTATTTCAACTTAGACAAGAGTTAGGTAAGTTAGCAAAAAGGGTTTCTCTATATCACATGAAGTGTAAGATTCACCACTCCCTCTGTTTGAGAGATGCTAATAAAAGGTTTTTGGGACGGGTGCTTAATGAGCTCAGAGGGAGTTGAGATGTTAATTTTTTTTTAAAAAAAAAATTAAATTAATTTAGAAAATTGTCTGCATACAACTATGCAAGGGAAACCATACATGAGTCTTGTGTATTTTAATATAAATTGAGTGCACTAATTAGTGCCCGTTTGGTGTCCTAATTGTTAAGACTTACTAAACAGCAAACAATAATGTAATTGTTTGCGGGGCAGTAGAAAAATAGGTGAAGATATGACCTCCAAAGCATAATACTCAAATATTCTAATAAAATGCTTGTCAGCCTTCGTTTTCTCTCTACCCCTTAAGTTATTCTTTCTCTTAGTTTTACGGCAAAGGATGGGATTTGGCGAGGTTGCGGATTTCGTGCATCTAAAAGAAGTCAAAATCTATGTGAACGGGATATTAATGCAATCTCAGCTACAACGATCGCGAAGAATATAGCATACACTTTTGTTCCAATAGCGGTCTTGGAACAGATTTGCATATCTTGAATTCAAATCATTGTTGATTAAGGCACCTACTTTATAGCTAGCGGGCAAAGCTAGTAAGCCCAGCACTACCTTCATTTGCTTACATTTGGCTCAGAACAGATCCATCATTGTCTACGACCACGTAGCGTAACCCTTTTGACTAATTATTGAAATGGGCATAATAAGAGACACGGGGAGAACCCTGACATGGTGGTAGGAGAAAACAACTTGCACTTTCTTGGCTACATAATATACACGATCGAACCATCCTAGACGTCCTAGGTTCTGAAATGCAAGCGGTATCCATTTGCTAATTATATCAGGTATAAAGATTAACCACGATTGAGCATCGTAAAAGTACCATTTAAATGGTAAAACCTAGGAGGCTAGAACAGTCACGACCAAAGTGGTGGTTGTTAAAAGAAAGCTCAGCGAAAAATTAGGTCTTTTTTTTGTGGTTCAATTATGGCAGAGAAATTACATGGCTAAGTTCATAATAATGAATTTGAGTCTTGGAAGATTGCCATTTGTTTGATGACCCGACGCCCACAAGGTTTAACTGGAATATGTTCTCCAGTTTCCACCGGAGAAAAAGTACGCATATGATTCCTAGAGGTCTCAGATTCAATGCCCCAATAATGGTCAAATGCTAAGAATCAAACGTGCAGTTCATGCGTAATAAGAGCCAAGTATAAGCAAGAGGATGTGATGAACAACTGCTTCAGCACTACAAGTAAATGCATTCAAGTTATTAACCCGTCCCGACCGCTGCTCAATATAATTTCTCCGAGGTGCACCAAAAGTTCCCTGCTGAGATGACAAATAGCCTCACTACCTTTGGAACAACCGCACCAATCATGATAAATACACAATTGCTGGAAAACTAGGATAAGAGTTGGCCATTACAAAAAATCTAGTTGAACTAATCTAATCCATTGTAAAACAGACAAAAGAAGAACCACAGATGTGACAGAGAGTCTGCCAACCACGCCGTTTCCACAGTTTGTGCACGATTTTGGCTTGGCTCTCTTGAAGAGGACATCTTCATTGACAGAAGGAAAGACAGCACCAACAAACAGCACTGTATACATTATCATTCGCTAGCTGAATTTACCAATTTCCATCTTCTTCTTTATTGCTTTCTGCCCGTGATATACGAAAGAATCAATAATCCCCGAAACCGTGAAAACGCCTGAGAGGATAACCAGAATTTGGGCCGTTAACCATAAAAAGATGAGCTAAATTTAGAATGGCAACCACAAAAGACATGCAGAAAAATTTAGGTTCAAGTCCCCAGTGAAAAGAAAGGAAGGATTTAGATCCTATCAGCCTTTGTGGACAAAAAGTAAAATAAAAAAGAAAGAGTAAAGCAGAAAAAGTGAATACTGCAACATTATGATTTTTGACAAGCAAAAGGGAAATTACCTCCAACTATAGCACAGACATTTGTGAGGAAGTGTAAAAATGATACGTGCTGCTCCGTGAAAGTTACCTACACCAGCAAAAAATTGCAGGAAATAAAGTACGAGTAAACATGCACGAATTACTTCTCCAGGTAGCCCATGGCAAACTGCCTTGGGCACAGTCAAATTGTCTGGATAGATTTTTGACTTTCTAATTGTTTAGAAGAGTTTGGATTGGATGCCTTTGATTCAATATCTATATAGAAATAATACATCTTTTTTTTTTTTCAATTTTCAACATCATAACGGACCTTGATTGGTGATAGGTCATAGAAGAAGAAAACTCCAGGAATAGACTGAAGACGGCCTATTTCTGCTCCCTTAAAATGTTCAGTTACAGAGAACTGCAATAGGCAGATGATGTTACATCTCATTCCATGATGAATTAAATAAAGTCAGCATAAAACAGAAAATCTTTGCAGCTATTCACACCTGATTTGATTGGATATTGTGTCCATTTACATCAGTATACACCGTAGGCACCACCTGCATTGCAGAGAAGAATATACTAGTCAATGATACCCACATGCGAATTATGAGATGCTTAATCCCACCCTCCATCTTTCGTCACTTATTTAGATAATCTAAATTTAACTTTGGACAGGGTACAGACTTGACACGGAGGCTACCTGGTATTACTAATCAACTGGAAGAAGAACAAGGTTGGCAATCAACTTTTTACAATCAAATAGATTCAAAAAGTAAAAAAACTACATCAATACAGAATTACTTGTTCTCATTTTGATATTGTGTCTTCAACAATTAGCAAGCAAGCATACATGCAGATAAAATATTTTTAAGGCACATATTCAGCATCTATGTAAACATGGTGGACTATTGATATAAAACCTCTATAATGCACCCAGAAAAGAAAGTTCATATCATTGGTGCTCATAAATGAGAAGTTAAAAAAAAAACTTGAGGCACAAAGAAATCTCTGATATACCTCCTTTATTTACTGCTTTAAAGCTAAGGTTCTCCAATCAGAATTACTACCCTTCGTCTACCTCCATCAAAGATTTTCCTCATCCTTCTTTTTTCCAAAAGCAGGTGATAAGTAGATTTCTAGTGCCAATGGCTTATGCCTACTTGTTACAACTCTTTTAAGTTTCACCCAAGTCCCAAAAAATAGGGACCAAAGTGGTGTTACTGCCTGAGAAATTACTGATCATACCTTGTACATTAAACCATGCCCCGAAAAGGAACTTACTTTATGGTCCAACAATTTGACTATCTCAACTATATCTAAGAGTCAAGATGTAAATGGTTCGACTAAAAAGTGGACATAGAGCTTGGGCCTTCCAGTCTGAGATATTGACATTCATCAAATTGAGAGGAAGATTTTGCAGTACATGTCGAACAACTTAATTTGTGCCTCAAGATAAATATAACAAGTTTGGTATTTAGTGTCAGTATTCCTTTATGTTTCCAAACAGTGCGAGTTTCACACAACTAATTTTGATTCGGATGATAATAACATTCAGATATGCCATTTTGAAACTTCTGAGACCAAGTAACTTTCATTAATATGATTACTTTTATGGGGGTAAAACCAATTGCGCTAATCTGGTTCTTGTCTGCTTTTTCACACTTCTAAATCCATGGACTTGCCTTTCTACAGCTTGTATTAATCATCATTTTCTTCCATGGCTAGTACAAAACAAAAATAGCATAAGCATATAAAAATTGAGTAAAAAACTTCCAGCAATTGAGGAAACATTACCCAACATGTCTTGAACAACCTAAACAACAAAAGACACTCATTTACTTAGCCAGATATCAATTACACACCTCCGAAGTCCTACAGTAGAGTTGTCTACTGCTTATTGCCAAACTAAACAAAATTCTACAGATGCATTTCATCTATTCCCAGATCAAATTAAAGGCACAGAGAAATTAAAGATTAAACAAACACTCTAAATAATATTTCACCCACAGACAACTATCCTCCACGCAGAAACCTATCAATCTGAGCAGATAAAATAAGGAAACTAGTTGAAAAAAAATATGGGAAACTCCAAAGGAGTCCATGCAAATTGAACAATAGACTCACCTTGATAAAATATTGATACATCCCATTAGGAGTTTGTTGCATCCATTCCACACTGAAAGTCATAAGAAAAGAAATGTCATCTTGAAGGATGGAACAAGACCAAATCGTCGCATCGGGGAAGGAAAAGAGAAGAGAAAGATACCCATCAAGAGGATTTACAACACCAGGGAAATAGTCTCCAAAAGCCAATCTATTGATCTTGTGACTTATCTGCAGTACATTTAACCTACAAAGTTAGTTCAAAGAAAATTCAACACAGGAACTGGAAAAAATATAGATTCGAAGCAAATTAGCAGTGCTTCACAGATGTATCGAATCAAAACATCATCTTACATTGAAACTGTCCTTCTGGAAAGCCAACAGATCATGGATATGAACATTTGCCTGTTGAAAACTCTTCCCAGGTGCAAAATGAAAGTTTCCAGCAACCTTGTTGACATCTAAGAACCCATAAATATTGCATCCTTCACCTTCTTCATCTTTGATCCTTTGAAGAAACCCTTCTCTTTTACACTGAAGATATGTACAAGAGTGAAATTGTAAACATAAAAATTTTCAAGTCCCAACAGCTTTGTGCTCAAAACTGACAACTATTAGATGGAACACTACATAGGATTTTATTTTTCCTATACAGTTTAACTAAAACCATTTGAAGCATAAAGGATAAGTTTTCAATGCACAAGCCTCTAAATGCCAATTTTCTGATTTCAGAATTGCAAGAGAACGAGGCTAATGGATAAAAAATACACATAAGCATTGCTCAAACCTCTACTTAATTTAGATAATTGTTACAGCACATACAACTCAGAGCAATCTACCCCTTATAACTTCAAGCTAGTGCCCATTTAAGCTTATCTATGTATTGAAATTGATCAGCCAAACTAATGATTAAAGTCTTCTACCTCTAGAAGAAGTAACAGATAAATTCCATGCAGATGCATATACCAAAAAGAAAAGGAAGGAATTTCAATTCTAAATACAGCAACAAAAATGCTATAGTGAAGTTAGAGAACTCATGCTACCTTCTCAGTGCAAGTTATTATCCAGACAAGCAAAACATAGACCAATGACCAAAAAGAGCCAACCACTCACCTGGTCGATTAAATCTGGATTTGACAACGCCCAACCCTTCTTACGATATGCTTCTCGAACTTCTTCACAGGAGTTGCAGCAATCATCATCCGCCTGAGGAACACCCATGAAAGTGAGGGTAGGATCTCAGATATATTAAAGCATCATCATACACCTGAAGGGGTTGTATTTGTAAAGCAGCAAAATTAACATACAAAATAGATATTTGTTCAGGACAATAGAAGGAAAGGAAATAAGGATGAAGTTCCAAAAGGTAGAGAGAGACCTGGTAAGTTGTAAAAGGAAGAAAGCCATAGCTCTAACCAGAAGTAACAGAGAATAGAAAAGTTGATAGCAATCTACCATTGACACTTTAAATAACAAAATGCGAAAGATACAATTTCAAATAAGCATAATGTGGTTTACAAGGTCATATAAATTGTAGCAGCAAATTAACGGCTTAGGAGAAGCACACCGTTTCTGCTCCAAAGCACGAGCCACAGTATGTCTCATTGTGTTCAAGCCTGCCTCCATGCCTTTGCAAAGGTTTTTCTATCTGTGCCATTAAAAAGATTTCAAAATTGAATCAGTCTTTTAGATCAGAGAGCAGCCAATGCACTGCTAGAACAGTCACTGGAGCAATAAAGTTCAAATAGAAAACTATATATTTTGCTCAAGAGATTTTCAGGGGAATTAACTTCTCTGCTGTTGTAATCTAAGTAGCATCCAAGCATTTTAAAAACCAAAAACAAACTTTGCTAAGAATAGAACTTACACAAATAAGAAATAAAAATAACAGAAATCACAGACAAATTTAGTTTGCAAGCAGAAAAAAATTACAAGAACATAATGACTTAAATTTGTAAGAAGCGTTCACGGGTTAATAACAGATCATCACACTTCATCCAATTCTCTTTACTTGCCTTGGGATGTCCAATGCCCTCTTGCCGTGTTTCTATTACATTACCATGGACATCAATTCTTTTCTTGGTAATATCATGTCTCTGCAAGTGTTGACAGAATCAGATTGAGACATCAGCAATGAATCATGAGAATGCAAAGTGCTAGCATGATGCAGCATGTTTTCATCAATTGTCAAGACTCCATATAGCTATATTATCATAATTTTGGCCTCCATGCAAGACGGGGAAAAAGCAGGCTAACAAGTAATACACAAACACAATGCACAAATGTATGAACCGGAAAATACTTACCAGAACAAGACTGTGCCCCCACCCCAAAATCCCCAACCCATTGAAAGGACTTAATGGCATGGAAAGTTAAAGGGTAAAAGTTCAAAGAATAAAGTTTACATTACCTATACATGCAAAAACAGAAAAACTGCACCATGACAAGAAGTATAAAGAGTGATGCTGTAATACATACGACATCAAGATGTTGCTCTCCGCTGATATCCATGGCATCAAGGCTGAGCATGGAACATGGAAGTGCTGGAAATGTGACATCAAACTGCACTTTCAGATACAATGAAGAGAAGTATCAATTAGTTTCATAAGGAACATGTGTAAGTCAAACAAGAATACATTCGAAAAAAAAGTGTTGATAATCTACAATGAATTGAAATAGTTCATGAAGCAAAGATTTTGGAAATATATATTCTTCATCGCTCAACCTAAACACAAAACATCAGCAGAACAAGCCATATTCTGTCAATTAGAAATGCTAGAAGCTTTATCCTAGAGTTATATAAACAGGTGTCAGAGATAAACTCAGGATCCAATTAGTTGCATGACGTGCCAATCTCAACCTGGGGGAGGGAGTGGTGGGGCTATTGTTGAGGAGGGGAAGAAATGGGAAACATAGCAATATGATAATTCAGAATAAAAAGTACTCAAGCAACAAAGCAGCAATTCAAGCATTGCATGGGAAAAGAAAAGAAAATTCTGTTACATTGATCCGCAGCCTTTCTCCCCTGGACGTATCTACTACAAGCTTTGTCTCAGTAACTGCATGGAGATATAACCCTATGCACAAGCCAAAATAAAGGGAACCAATAAATATCATGGAAATGACATTGACAAAACTAACAAGATTATATCTTTCCTTTATAGCTTTAAAGCCCCACCCTCCCCCTCCCCTCTTCCCCCCACCAAAAAAAAAGGAAGAAGAAAAGAAGAAAAGGCAACAAAAATGTAGCACTTTATTGTTTAAAAAGAATTAAGGGCCAGAGTTAGGGAGTGTACATTTATGCATCAAACAAGAGGACGATATACAATACCTGCATATCTATCATCAACAACAGCTCAGAGTAGGCAATTAGACCTTGAGAAGCATGAATAAATGGTCAAATAAACAACTTCCAGTTCATCTGATTCTTTTAGCTTAGTTCCTATTAAACTCTGGCTAAGAGACCATAAGATAACCTTAGAGAAAACTGTTTGATCCAAAGCCTCAGTTTAGCACACCATGAATTTCAAGAAGATAGCTTTAGAAAGAACTAGTTCATTCCAGTCAACTTTGGCTTTTCATTGTGCTAATATACTTTTTAAATGACATTAACGATGAAACTTGTAGACAAGAGTATATATCAGGAACCGATGGAAGCAATCACTATCAAATTCAACAATTTGGCTAGAGTTTTCATGCCTAGCTGAACAATAGAAATACCAAATGGTAACTACAAAATTGAATGCAGAGTTAAATTTGTATCGATACATGACAAACTCAGACATGAATAAACGGATTATAAAAAGTTCGTGCTGACAGCCTGAATGTTTGGTTAACTATGGGAAAAATGTACTAAGAAACCACAGGTATTCCTAGAAACAATCTTTAAGAAAACTTTAATATAAATCTCAGGACAATTTGGTTTTGTGTCCTAGCCTGGGAATGAGATGAAAATAGTAAAATACAAATATTCTCTTTAGGTAATATCAAATGCAATCAATCAATTGAGTTCAAATGCACAATTCATGCGTATTTCTGCACCCACAACATCAGAATATATTAAATTTGATCTCCAGTGATTCCTATGAGTACTAAAAAAAAAAAAACCAAACATTGGAAAAAGAGAATGCTCCAGACTCTCTCTTTCTCTCTCTGCCTGCCCTAAGAGGCTCCACCTGTCTCTCCTCCACCTCCCAGCTCATCTACCATTCCCCCCACTCCCGTCACTCTGATGTCCCTGGCTATTCCTCTGCCTGTCTTCTCTTCCTCTTCCTGTACAACTTCACCACAATATTGTAGATTTAGAACCTCAGAAACTGAAGAAGCATTTTGGTAGTTTTCATTTGGGATTTTGAGTTGTTTTTTGAAGTGCACTGAATATTGTCTTGGTTACAAACTAAGAATTTGACTATGATTTGGGAGGTTTTTTGGCTTCTCAGGTCCATTAAGGCTTCAAAGGGTTCAGGACATCAACGTTCTGACTTTGATGGGAAGCCACTCCAGTTACTTACTTTTATCATTTAATTCCAACTTTGATTCCTGAACACAAACCCAACCACTAAACAATTGAATAAAACATCACTATATGGAGCAAGTAGAGCGATTAAATTGCCCAAAACCCATCATATCTTCACTTGATGCTTCATTGATTATAAGAACTATATTCCATCCAGTTTGTCTTCTTGGTGATATACCCCTCAATCACACTCTCCAGTAGAATCTCGGAGTTATTTTAGCATTAAAATAGCACCAAGATATTCAATGTGTGTTCTTGATGATATACCATTTTCATTTCCCTTCAATCACAATCTCTAGTAGAGTCTTGCAATTATTTTACAACCATAGTAGCAGCCAAGATATCATATGCGCATTGCAGATCCAGCCAACTGAATTTCATTACAAGGTTGACGTAGACATAAGCTACACCCTACCTATGCACTCAAGATTCTTCGAGTTAATTCCACCAACAAATTATTCATTTCGTACTCGTTTTTGCATAACTTTGGCACCACCACCATGCAATTCCTACTTCCAATCAGACTCATTAATTATTATACAGCTAAAAGGACAACTAAAACTAGCTAGAAAAAACAGAATAAACATAAGAATCAGAAATTCATAGAGCATTAAAAAAAAAAAAAAAAGAAATCCCGAAACTTTCAAACACAGAATGAAACTACACCATATCTAGAGTAAATCTATATCTAATTTTAATCCAACCAAAGCAATAAAAGAGTCCTAAACTGAATACATACAATGATTTAAAAACTTCAGACAGAGAGAGAAATAAAGTTCAAAGGAACAAACTGAGCTCGGAGAAGAAGAGCAAGAACATGACGATGGAGGAAGCTAGGGTTATAACGCCGCCGGACAGCGTTCTGCTGTAGAAATCCTCATTGATCTTCGGATACGCATCCAAGCTTCGAATCTTGCTCATCAAATTCTCCATCGCCACAAATTCTATACGCTATTATGCATCTATCACTATATCTCTATAAATACATACCACAAAATCAATTATACAAACGAAAGAAAAAATCCAAAACAAACAAAAAATCTCAGGAATTGATCGATCGATCGATCGAAAATTATTCTGCCTAAACGCCTCGTTGCAGAAGGAAGAAGTGGGACTCAAATTGAAAAACAGTTTCTACAAAACGAGGCGTTTAAGAGTAAAAAAGTGTCGAGGTAGAGGTCTTGCTTGTGTGATTCTCTCTGAATCTAAAGTTTCATTTTCTTGTTTGGATGCGTTGAGTAATTATTTATCTCTGGCTCGATGATAAATTTTCGTATTGATGATAAGAATTAGGATTAATTACATTTTTTACCCCATAACGTTAGGCCCATTTCTCACCTTACCCGCAGACTTTTGTTTGTAAGCACTTTACCCTAAGATTGATGGTCAGCACAAATGGCGACGGACGAAAACACTAAAAGACATCAATATCCCTAAGAACATATCTCATAGACTAAACTAGGGCTGCAAACGAGCCGAGCCGAGTCGAGTTTTGGACTTATCGAGCCGAGCTCGACTTAAAAATAGGTGGGCTCGAGCTCGAGCTCGAGCTCGACGAGCCTAAAGAATTGAGCTCGAACTCGACTCGACTAAAAAATACTAGGCTCGAGCTCGACTCGATATGGCTCGCGAGCTGAAGCTCGATTTCGGGCTCGCGAGCAGCTCGAATCGTGAGCTCGAATTTTTGACTCGTGAGCAGCTCGTGAGCTCGAATTTTTGGAATTAAATCTGAGGCTTCTACTCCGTCTCCTAGCTTAAGTTTTAAACAGAATCACTAATAACAAATTGTACATCATTAGGATCATACAAGAACAAAAAAGAAAACATAGGAATTGAAGGAACGGAGAAATGAAGGAACAAAATTCCATTAGGCATATACATTAACACATTAAAGATCCTTCACACTTCCTCAGGAGCTGCATCAATACAAATGAAAGACAATCTGATATCAAAATAAAATGACTCTGAAATTCCGTTCCCATCCCTCAATTTGAAGCACATTTCTAATCCAAGGTGAAACTCACATCAGATTACAGTCACATTGCCACCTTATCCAACGCAATCATACAAAAGAGTGCAGAAATCACCAATCATCCGAGTCTCAACTAAGTCACAAGACAACTAAAACCCCACCATTCCAAGAAGCTCAGTACAGTAGAATCGACAATTCAACCATTTAAACAAAACCCAGAAACGAAAGCCAGTTACTTAAATCATCAATACCCCAATGTACATTTTCTCATTTACACGTTGTCTAAAAGAAAGAAAAGGATAAGAAAATACATGCCACATAAAAAAGGACAATCATTGAAGTCACGAACTTCTTCTCTTCCTCTGATCAGCAACAGAAACATATTGAACCAAGATAAGTTTGCAATGGCAATGGCAATGGCAATGCCCGGACGTGGAGGGCCCAGTCTGAAGCGCAAAAAGTCACAAAGTTTTAGACAATGTACAAAAACAGCGGCTAAAAATCCTGCCCAGAATTCAACTAATGAATAGCCCAAACAATAAATTAAACAATAGCTAAAAATCATCTGAAAAAAAGGAACTAAAGCAGCCAAATAACTTCCATTTTAGTTGCAATGAAACCAGCCACCAAATAGATCATATACACATATAAAGAAACCAGCAGCCAAATGAATAAAGAGGCCAATAGCCAAAAAACTAAGAATATAGATTACCTAAAACATGAAAAAGTTCAAGGAATAGGCAATGAAATCTCTTGTGCTGACTTCATTTTCTGCAAAGTAAAAAAAATAATAAAGACCAAGATTAATCTAACTATAAAACATATTGTAATAGAAGAAATAGTAATTTGCAATATAATTACCTTATCCCTTTTCTTCACCCCGTGTAGCTTACGACACCAATCCCCAGCACACATCAACATTTCTACCGTTTCTGGAGCTAAAGAAGCACGGTAGGAGTCAAGCACTCTAGTTCCAGCACTAAATGTCGCTTCCGAAGCTACGGTGCTAACAGGAATGGCTAAAATATCAGCAGCCATCTTAGGCAAAATCTTGTATTTTGTTGTGTTTTTCCACCATTTCAAAGCATCTAAGTTGACAATATCCAGGCTCGACTTCTCCGTAGCAGTGAGAAGGCCATCTTCAAAGTAGATATCCAGCTCATTCTTCTCCGGTTGAACGGGTTCCACAGTAGCAATATGAGATAGAAATTCACACATTCCAGTTATGTGTGTCATTGTAGAGGATGAACTACTGCTACTCTTGCTAACTGGATCATTTGTCACTATTTGACAGCTTGCTCCAGAACCTCTTGAACTTGAAACATGCAGCTCCACATACTCGGCATATAGATCATACAATGCTTGCCGAACTTTGTTTATATTCGCTTGCACTTCATGCGGAGGATATATTAATGGAAAGCAGTAGTTGATAACTCGCATCTTGAGCCTGGGATCCAAGATAGCTGCTATAGACATCATCAGATTACACTCACCCCAATACTTGTCAAATTTCATCTTCATCTTCCAAACCATTAATTGAATAAAGTTGTCTTCATCATTTGCTTTGCTATCTAGAAGCGTTTTTATCCGACAAACTTCATTTAAATATAAATTAGCTGTCGGATAATCACTCCCAGATATTATATGAGTTGCATTCCAAAAAACTCCTAAAATACTGCACACCTTTTTTACCTTTTCCCAATCTTCTGTGGAAGGACAAAAAGTATAGCTTGGCTCTCTGTCTTTGAATCTCGGGAACACCTCATGGAACTTGAGAGCACAAGCTAGCATCTCATAGGTCGAATTCCACCTTGTTTTGCAGTCATAAATCAGCACTAAATCAGGCAATCGCAGCTGGTGTACAATTTCACCAAAGATCAATCGCCTCCCTTCAGTTTTGTTTACAAACTCTACACTTGCCCTTATGTCATGAATTATTTCTTGAATTTCACTAAGGCCATCTTGAACCATTAGGTTAAGTATGTGAGCACAACATCTCACATGGAATAACTTTCCTTTGGCCAACAAGCACTTGTTTCTCGAGAAGGTGTCCTTCAAACATCGTAGTGCGGTGTCATTATTCGACGCGTTATCAACTGACACTGTATAAATTTTGGTCTCAATGCCCCAATCCAACATGCATTTGTAAATTGCATCTGCAATGGCAATGCCCGGACGTGGAGGGGGAACATGCACAAAGTTGAGGACCCGTTTTTGTAATCTCTACTGGGTGTCAATCCAATGTCCAGTTATAACCATATATTCAATTTTTTGGTTCTTGGACTTCCAAAGGTCTGTGGTCAAGCTGATTTTCTTGACTTTACTTAACAAATGCTTCAATTTCTGCTTCTCTCTTTCATACACGGAAAGACAATCTTTCTTGTTGATAGTCCGGCTGATTTTTTGCCATTCAGGCATCCCCTTTTTCATCATTAAGTTGAAGCCATCTTCCTCCACAATTGAAAAGGGATGCTCATGCATAAGCACCCACTCAGCCGCGCTTTGTCTCATGGCAGCCATGTCAAACTTGCCAGTATGAAGGAGGGAATGAGCATTTGAACTAGAATCAGCAGCTGGAAAATTGAGTTTTTGCTGGCGTGCCTCTACTATTTTGAGTTTCTCCAATCGTTTAGAACAATTTTTTCGATGCCTTAACAAACTTGAAGTTGTACCGGTCTTCGTCTTTTTGAATCTAGACTGACAATGCCTACACTCTGAGTAAATTGTTTTTTGAGGCCCAACTTCCACATCTTCGAAATCATCCCATGCTTCAGATTTTCTGGCTCTTTTTTTCTTTTTAAAAGCATCTAGAGTATCACCTTCAATAGCATCTTGGTTTGAAGTTTGAACAGGAGCTTGTGTATCGCCTTCTAACTGCTCCTCTTCACTTCCAAATTCTTCGTCGCCAAGAGAGTATTCCAGCTCTTCCTCGTTGTCATTTCCCCCCTCTGTGTCAATGATATTCACAGGACTAGTGGAATTCCCACCTGTTCTACCTAGCTGTGAAAACGCATCTTCCGCAGACTTATCCATATTATGATTCAACTATTGACAAAGGAAAATAATAAAACATGATTAGACAGCCATCTTTTACTCTCAAACATTCAATACTATAAAACACATAGAACTAACGAGCTTGTGTTTTTTAATTCTATCAAATTTTTTATATTAAATCATCCCAAGCAGAAAATATCAGCCAAGAAAAAAGTGCAAAAACCAGCCTAGAAAAAAACACTTAATCTGTTGAAGTTCCCACCTGGAAAAAAACAGCCCAAACTTGGATGACTTAAAAGTTACTATCATTGTCTCTTCTGAAATGATTCCAGTCAATGGCATTTTAAGAAAAGAGAACCAAAAAAATTGTTCAAAAGAGATGTATCTGTAGATATGATTCTCTTAGAAAAGGGATACAGCAATATCAGAAAGACTCAAATACCAAACTGGAAGATGAACAAATGGAAAACAAGATAGAATATCTTCCAAGAATAAAGGGACCATTAACAAATAGGTTATATGATCCCTGCATCACTAATCAGATCTTGGTCTTGGATAGTTGGATGCATTTAACAAGGTATCACGACCTTACTGCATTATCTCAAATATTATTAACCAAGTGCATTGCTTATTGAATACATGGTATTGATTTGTACAAAGGAGAAGCAAACTATGGGATCTTCTTTTGTTGATCAGACAATAGAAAACATAAGATGCATATCTGCAAAACCTGAACAAATATCATCCAAGAAAAAAGAACAAAAATCACATTTGCTCAACATCCCGATCAGTACAATGGTCAACTACTCAATGGTCACAAGAGCCCCAGAAGTGAATATACTTGCAATAGAAAAATGTCACTAGTGTATTACACAATTCAAGTCGGATAAATTATTACCATCGCCTAATTAAATAACAAAGGCAATCTTCAAAAGAGATGTATCTGTAGATATGATTCTCTTCCGCATATTTTTTTATTTCCAACATAACTAAGCCGGCACAACTTTCATCTAAAAGAACATGATATTCAAAGTCAAGAAACCGCAGATGGTGCAGAGATACCAATAAAGCAGGCCATTTTTCTACTCTGCCACTTCAACCATTAGCATGCATCAAGTTATTGGTTTTATTGTGTTCATATATATATATATATGATTTGGGCAAAATCTATATTTTGTACTTGCTAACTAGAGGGAAGCAGCAAACTTCAGACGAGAGAAAATAATATACTTACAAATTCTTTAATTGAACAAGTGAAGCTGCGACCCAAATGAAATCCCGGATCCAACGTAC